ATGATTGCAAGTGATAGTTAGTTAAAATTATGTGAGTGAATAAATAATAAATTAAAATTGATGTGATGTGCAAGAATGACTAATTGATATTGTTTAATTATATTGATAGTATAGAGGACAGTGATTGGCCATGGTCGATGAGGATCGTGAGTGGGATGTGCGCATGATCGAAGCAAGAGTTCTCGATGGTTGGATGGTCGAGGATGAGTCCTTGAGGACAAGGACATTCTCAAAGGGGGCGGGAATGATGTGGAAGTGGGTTTCGAGCTCCGACAACGAGACGGTCAATAGGCAGGTAATATTCGGGCGCAAGAAAGAGCGCATTAGAAAAGGGCAAGAATACGCGCATTGGCGCAACGGGACTACAAGCGATGGCGTGCCTTGGGCGTGGGATGAACGAGGGGCAGCGCTGGGCGCACGGGGGTGCGCGGTAGGCGAGCAGGCTGCGGGCGTTGGTGGTACGCGCGGAGCAGTAGGCGACGGACGTGCAGATCCCGCTGGGCGTACGGGTAGCGTGTACGCGGGTGAAGGCCTAGGCCCAGTAGGCCTAGGATTGGCGCGGCAACACACGCGCAAAGAAGCCAGCTGGGACGGGGCGTGCGCATGGGCATACGAGTGCAACGCGGGCGATGGCCTATACCGCGTAGGCATAGGAGTGTTGGACGACGAGCGCGGGGCGCAAGGCGACACGTGCGAGGCACAATGCGAGAACAAGCAGGCAAGCCTAATCCTCGTAGGAATAGGCAAGGCGCGAATACTAATCCTCGCAGGAATAGGAAAAGCAGTTGAGTGCCGGAACGCGCGTGAAAGATCGGTGACGGAAGTAATCCTCGGAAGATCAGGAAACGTAACCGGGATCATATTCCTAGTAGGAATAGGAATAGCGGATATGGGCTCAAAGCATAATCCTACAAGGAATAGGAGTGGCGCAACAGGCACGAGAGACCTAGTCACCAAAGGACTAGGCGAGCATGGCAGCGACGCGCGAAACGTGGCACACGGACGGGCGGCATGCCTATGCGCGGTAGGCATAGGCGAAGGGCGCGGGCGGCGCGCGCATGGCGCGCGAGAAGTGAGGCGGCCGAATGAAGTTGGGGCGCAAGACTTGGAGTATTCTAAAATGGTTTGGAGTGCAAGACAAGGAATTGGATAGCAAGTCAAGATATTAGGAGATCTACTAGATTTAGGAATTTATGGTAGTAGGATATTTGCTAGCCTTAGGATTTAATATTTAATTGTTTTAATAGTTTCCTAGTAAGATTAGCATTAGAGGTAGTTGGCATCTATAAATACCCCATGTACCCCTGTTGGAACCCACGAGGATCTCGATATGCACAAATCACGGACAAACATTCAACATAAACCTATGCGCAGCGGATCTAAAGGTTTGATGAAGAAAACTTACTGCTTAA